GTCCCAAAATACAGTTCGGAGTACTCAAATGAACCTTCTGATTGAATTTCTGCGGGGCCTGCAGAAGTGCATCGCATGTGTCATCAGTTCACATTCAGGTCAAAAGAAAAATATTTGAATCATCCGGATGAAGTGTAGAACGATTTTTCACTCAAAGTCAACCATGTGATTTAGCTAATCGCGTTGTGTCCTTTGGTCCATTTCTGAGCAAAACATCAGTAGAAAAAAAGGCATTCAAACAGCTCGGTCAGGTGAATTCTACGATGCATTTGGATCCGGAAATTGGTATAGGCCGTCCAACGAATACGGAAAAACATGAAAGTGGAGTAGATGATGGAACTCGACGATTTCTGTGCGGCCTCAACCAGTGCATCTGATGTGTGATCAGATCAGACTCAGGTCAAAAAATCAACAAATAAAATCTTTGAATCATCTAGATGAAGTATAGCACGCCGTCTTTCGAAGATGGCGTTTTCGTTTCCGAAGCGGGGAGGGATCAGAGAAGTGTTGTAGATGGTGCTCCACGACCAGGTTGATCACGCGGTGCAATTCGATGTCGATGCTCGGATTGCAATTGAAAAATACAATTTGTTTACTCAAAGTCGACGGTGTGATGTAGCTCGTCGCGTTCTGTCCTTTGGTGCATTTCTGATCGAAACAGCAGTCGGGATGAAGGATTTCAGCTTGTGCGGTCAGGTGTATTGTACGATGCATTTGGATCCGGAACATCGTGTATGCCGTCCAACGAATACGGAAAAACACGACAATGATAGAACTCTACGAACAGGTTCATCACACGGTGCATTTTGATGTGGATCGTCGCATTGCGTTTGAAAAGAATAATTTGTTCACTCAATGTGCATTTCCCATCAAAACATCAGTAGAGATGACGCATCTCGGGCGGCACGGCGAATTGTATTGTCCGGTGCACTTGGATGCAGAACATCATATTTTCCGTCCAACGGATACGGAAAAACACGAAAGTGAAGTAGAAAGAATGAGATGAAAGTCGATGTGCACTGTGCGAATCAGCTCGACGAGCTACAGTTCTGCGTTCCTTCCGAATGTCGAATGTGACCTGAGAATGAACTGATTTATAATAATGGTCGCGTTCTATCATCTGCTCGACTTTCGTGTTTCTCCGTATCCGTTGGACGGGAATTACGGTATTTTTGGATCCAAATGCATCGTACAATACATTTGACCGTACTGGTTGAAATGCTTCATTCCTGCTGAAGTTTTAGTCACAAATGCACCATAGTACAGCTAAATCACATGGTTGACTATGAGTGAACAAATCTTTCTACACTTCATCCGTATGATTCCAATATTTTTCTTGGTTGATCTTGTGACCTGAATGTGAACTGATGACGCATGCGATGTACTTTTTCAGGTCGCGCGTAAATTCAAACAGACGGTTCATTGGAGTATTCCAAACTATGTTTTGTAACCAACAAGGAAGTTGAAAATCGATGGGCACTGAGTGAATCAATTGGACGAGATACATTTTTGCGTTCCTCTCAAATGCCGAACGTGACCCGCAAATGAATAGATTCATAAAAATCGTCGAGTTCCATCATTTACTCCACTTTCGTGTTTTTCCGTAGTCGTTGCACGGGAAATACGATTTTCCGAATTCAAATGCTTTGTACAGTACACCTGCCCGTGCTGGTTGAATTTCCTCAGTCCTGCTGATGTTTCGATGAGAAATGCACCATATTGCGGAATTTGACAAGGTACATCACATGGTTGACTTTGAGTGAACAAATTGTTCTTTCCAATTGCGTGGCGAGCATCGACATCAAATTGCACCGCGTGATGAACCTGTTCGTGCAGCACGATCTGCTGCACTTGTCTGATCCCTGTCGGATTCGGAAGGGAACATGCGATTTTCGAAAAACGGTATGTTAATCATGATCCAGATGATTCAAGTGTTTTTTCTTGGTTGATGGTTTGACCTCAGTCTGAACGTATCACACATCAGATGCACTGCTTGAGGCCGCACACAAAAATGCATTAGACGGTTCATTTGAGTAAACCGAGCTGTGTTTCAGAAGAAAAACAATTGCAAATCGATGGGCATTGTGCGAATCAACTTAACGAGCTATAATCTTGCGTTCTTTTCAAATGCTGAACTTCACCAATGTTTCACTCCAGGATGCAATTCTGTTCTATACTTATTGCAGAGATGTGTCTCTTATTCAGTGATGTGTTCACTATCAACCTACTGGTGTGGGGTCAGTAGCACTGTGGAGGTGGATGATGTCTCGATGTCAAAACTAAATATGGTTGAGGTCGTCCGGTACCCACAGTGTCGATGTTCCTGATGCACGACCGAAATCTGAGAAAAAGATAAATCCAAAGTGAAGA